AAAGATAACTTTTTGAGGCCCCCTTCACATGCCCAGTGCACAGCTCTGAGCCTGCCATCATGACCTCTCAGCAGAGTGGCCTGATTCAGGAATCCACGCCTCCTGCACAGGACAGGACTCCCTCCCCCATTATAACCTGCAGAACTAGGTAACCAGGTCTCTGAGTGGTACACCAGGAGCAGTGGCTGTGGGATGGGAGACTTGCGAGAGGGACCCACTTCAGGGTCACTCTCTCCTCTCGTAACTTGAGTTTGCCAATTTTAAGTGTAAGATTCAGTGACATGAATTGCATTCACATCCTTTTTAAAAACTTTGTCATTAGCCACAAATAAAATTGCAGCAGGCTTGAACGCCCCCACTCCCCTTCTCAGCTCACGGTCGCCACCCATCCACTTGTGTCTCGGGCACCTTCCTAGTAACGTCAGCTTAATAGGGTCACAGCAAGATTGGCCCCTTCACCGAGCGTGTTCTCAGGGATCACTCATAGAGACACAGCACAGCCTCGTGAACCATCTGTCCCCTTGTCAGACTCCTTTATCCACCTATGGACAGACAGACACTGCGGTGGATGGAACCTTTAGGCGGCGACTGGGTAAATAGCGTTCCAAGAAGCACTGGCACCCAACATTTGAGTCCCTGCTTCCTCCCCTCTTGCACCTTTTGGATGTTGGAGTTTGTGGGCAGTAGAGGCACTGAAACCCCTTCATTCCCCCAAGGCCTGTTCCAGCCACCTTGACATCTCCTCAGGGCTGGGCCCTGGCCTGTTGCAGGGAAAGCGGATCAGATTCCTCCCCTGGCTCTACTTCCCCACCCACATTCCTCCCTACCTAGAGTTCTCAAGCACACATCTGCTCTCAAAATCCCTTTGGAAGGCACTGCCAAGAGACCACCACACATCCACCACAACCCACTTCTCTACAGCAGTGGTTCTCAACCTGCCTAATGCCGCGACCCTTTCATACCGTTGCTCATGTGGTGGTGACCCCCAACCATAAAATTATTTTCTTTTTCTTTAATTTTGGTTTTTTCATAAAATTATTTTCATTGCTACTTCATCACTGTAATTTTGCAACCTTATGAATCATAAATATCTGATAGGCAAGATGTATTGGGGGGTGGGGAGGGAGGGGGAAAATGAGCTGATACCAAGGGCTCAAGTAGAAATGAAATGTTTTGAGAATGATGAGGGCAACAAATGTACAACTGTGCTTGACACAATGGATGTATGGATTGTGATGAGTTGTACAAACCCCCAATAAAATGATTTTAAAAAGAACCCCCCCAAATAATTGAATATAAAGCATAGTGATTAATCACAAAATATGTAATTATATATCGTGAAATATTTGTTTTCCGATGGCCTTAGGCAACCCCTGTGAAAGGTCATTCAACCCTCAAGGGGTCTAAGCCCACAGGTTGAGAATTGCTGCTCTATAGCCTTCCAGCAGAAAATTCCTGTCGAGCTGCTAATAATGTAGCTGGATTGAGCTCAGGGGCCACAGGACATGGAGATTTCTGTAGCACCCAGGACATGCTCATGGGGAAAGGAGCACCTAAGAATGAAGGAGCCCTGTGGGTGCCGGTGTTGAAAGAGGTGGGCTTCTAACCAAACGGTCTTTGGTTTGAACCCACCAGCCATTCTGTGGGAGAAACATCCATGAACTTACAGCATTGCAAACCCTGTAGGGTCGAGACGGAATCAAGGGGTTTGGGCAAGAACTGAAGAGACATGTAAATCATCGAGCAAAGTCAGTGGGACCACTTACTGCTCTGATCTTCCTAGCAGACACTTAGGTTAGTTGAAACAGAACATGCCTAAAACACCTCCTCAGAGGCCCCTCGGGAGCCGGTGGGACCATCCCATTGGATGAGTATCCCACACACCTCACAAGACTTCAGTTCAAACTCAAGAAATCCACGCTTTCATACAAGCTGTTAATGAAAATAAGCTTTATTACATCAAGTAATAAATACATACAAAGATGCAAACAGTTCAGAGTCCTTCCCCTCTCCCCGATTTTTTTTGGGGGGCGGCAGCATCAACACACAGGAAACTGAAATCTACAGTCTGGATATGAAAAATTTCAGGGTTGTCCTTGTTCGGTTTGGTCAGTTGCTCTTTCTTCTGTATTTATAACTTGTGCACTTTTTTTTAATTGACTTCAAAGCACTAAAAGTCATGCAAAGGCTGAAGCGAAAAGTTTCTGTAAAGCGGGGCCTACGTGGGTAGGATGCCCAACTGGGCGTGGCTACGGAGCAGGTGTGCATGGTCAACGGTGGAGAGAAATCAGACAAAACCCTGAACGTTGTTGTTATGAAAAGGGACACAGGATGATCTGGGGGACACAAAGGTCTTCAAAAGAAAAGAGTATGCTGGGACCCTGGGATCTTGGAGGCAAACTGGAGTTTGCCATCAGATCAGTCACTTTCCGTTTTTAAATCAATGCTTTAAAAAGTCACACCAAAAACAAAACAAAAAGAGAGAGAAACCCCTGGGTAGTGCCTAACTACTAGAAACGCAAATAATCCTGACCAACTGAGAAGTCTTCCTTCAACTCAGGAGGGTAGGTTCACAATCTAGTGAGCCACGGCAGGGAAACACGGAGGGAAAGAACAGTCGGCACTTTGAAAACAAAGGAAATGGGGGCGACACGCTGTCACATCTCATCTTGGGAGAAGATGGAACACCCTGAAGGCGCCCAGGGCGCTAGGACCTGGCATTCCGCTCCGTCTCGGCCAAGCACTCTCGCACCAGTCCTCGGGCGTGAATGATGCCTGCAAAGGAGGAAGCAGAGGCCGAAGTCACCCAACACAGACCAGTGGCCAAACCCACAGCAGGACTCTTCCACCCCACCCCGAACACCCTCCTCCTAGAAGGGACCTGGGAACCCGGACACAACTCCGGGGTTAAGTGGGTCTTCATGGTCCCGGCAGACCCCCAAAGGAAGGCCTGGTGGCACTACGGGTTACGTTCTTGGGCTGCCAACCGCAGGGTCAGCAGTTTGGACCCACCAATCACTCTCATAACACTTTCACAGTCTCACACAACTCAAAGAAAAAAACAAAATCCCCTTAAAAACCAGTTACACCGTCTTGGAAACCCCAGGGAGCAGTTCTGCTCCATCCTGCAGGGTTGCTGAGTGAGAATCCAGAATCGACTTGGTTGGGTAGATCCCGTTCCCACAAGTCCCCCCCACCTTTTCCTGTTTTGTTTTGGAATTAACTTCTGACTGTGAATTGGGTGAAGGTAGGCAGTGCACATCACGTTTCCATAGAACAAACCACACACCTTGTGCCCTCTTGGTCTCCTACGATTGGCTGTTCTGAGAGCATACCTCCTTGGCGTGACCATTCAGCTTAAAGGCCTAGTGTTTGTTGCAAGTTGAGCCACAGGGGTGAGTTCAGTTCCAGGCTCGAAAGCAGTCTAAGGGTCTTTGTCAATTACATAATCTCCCGTCAATTTGTGAAGGGGTGGAGTCTAGCCTGTCAATCAGGTCATAGCCAATGAAGCCTCTGTGCGGGCAAGGCCTTCTCCTGAGGATTCTGGGAATTTGTCTTCCTCCCTGGAGGCAGGACACACTCTCTGCTTCATCTTCCTGCTGACAAGACACACGGAGCTACGTAGTGGCCTGGAGCTGGAAGAGCCACGTGGCGATCCCTGCCAGGCTGAGATGCTTCCACCGCCAATGGATCCACAAGACTTCCCACCCACTGGCCTGCGATCTTCCTGCATTCTACATCGCTGCATGGCTTCATGAGACTGATGAGGAATTTATAGATGGTATCAGGCATATGGACTAATATCAGACTTAAATGGACCTGATCTACACTGGGATGTTTTCTCAATATATAATTATTCTTTTATATAAAGCTCTTTCTTATAACACATATGAGTGTCTCCCTAGATTTGTTTCTCTAGTCAGCCCCAACACAGGGTCATACTCTCAGGGGTTCCTCTCTAACCAGTCCCAATTCTTCATGTTCCCCTACACATCTTCCTTTACCCAAGGGGACAAACAGCACACTCTCCTTGACTCTGGTGGCTGATGGGAGTAAATGTGTACTGCTCAGGTCCTTCCAGCTTGTCCCCCTGTGACAATTCCTTTCAAATCACTGTTCTTTTCTTCTGGCTTCTGCATATTCGCAATGCTGGAACGGGTTTGACTGGTGTCACATATGACAAGGGGATACGCCCAGCCTGCACATCTTCGGGTGCCAGCCAAGTAGCATTCCCTCATGTCCTACCTCTGTCCCTTGGATGTCCACACCCCAGCCCTGCCCAGTTGCCCACCTTTCTGCCATCGTCTGCTTACTATCAATTCCCTCCATTTCTGGTCTTCGTGAGATGGTGCCTGTACTGAACTACAGGTCTTGACTTGAATAGACACCAGGAATTCTATTCCTTCTAAGCTGTGACTCCAGTGGGAAGGAGCACCCCCGAGGCACTGACAGCTGAAGTTGAGGGGCTCTGTCAGCTTACTCAGGTCTGCAGCCGTGCCAGTGGACAAGCAGAGATGGGAATGGCCACATTCCGATACATCTTTAACGATGGACACCCCAACGATCGTCCCGCGTCCTTTTTTCACACATCACAGAAGAGGCTGCTGCTCTTTCCATTCTGTGCTCAGCTAACCTGTCAGCTATGCACCTGCACCTTGCCCTCACCCCTTTCCCACACTTGCCTCCCCTGCCACAGACAGACGATTAGCTAGCCTGAGCTGGACTGTTGTTGGGGAGTGGTGCTTACTCATTCCTGGGGACCAGCACCCCACCCAAGACTTGTCCAGGAGGGCAACTGGCTAGACTCAGGTGACTGCAAATCGCCTGCCAGACCTCGGGGCCAGCATCTTCCCAGGGAAGCCAGCACTCCAGTCCCCTGAAAGCTCTTTCTTCCTTTCCTTCTGAACAGCAGAGCAACTTCCATTGACTCCAGGAGAGATGGGTCACGTTTCAGATGTCTCCCAAGTCCACTTCCAAGACGACACACCTTCGGCCAGGTCTCCTGGCCCCGAACCTGTCCCTGGAACCATAACCCTTGCCTCCACCCCGGTGCCCACTTAACTAGCTCTACAGTCAGTTTGCCTCTCCACAAAGGTTCCCAAAACACGAGGACAAGGAGCCTGTCCTCGGCCGCAGCGCTCCTTTCTGTCATTGCTGTCTAACCTAAGGATGTCCCCCTCTCAGGCTCCCAAATCTCCTGCAGGAGTCCTGGTGGCACAGGGGGTGACATTTGGGCCACCATCTGAAAGGTCGGCAGTTTGAAACCACCCGCCAGTCACTCTGGGAAGAGGAGTGGCAGTCTACTTCCGTCGAGACTTTATAGCCTGGGAAACCCGACAGGGCTGTTCTAGTCTGTGACTCTGAGTCAGGATTGGCTTGCTGGCAGGCGACAAATCTGGGAGCAGTCTGCTCCAAAGGAGAATGATGAGGCTGCCTTCTGCTGCCGACAAGATTGACAGTCTTGGAAACCCTCTGTCCTACAGGGTCCCTGTGAGTCAGATTGGACCCGATGGTGGTCAGTAAAGCTCCTGAAGTCCAATCACCCTATCGACCGCAGAACCCCTGCAGTCAGCCATGTTCTGGGCCAGAATCCACCCTCCCAGCTCCCCTTTCACATAATCAGACAGCAGCCCGTCCACCTGGCCCAGGCATTGGCCCCCGAGTCTTGATCTTACCTCAAGAAAAGCACCTCTGTTTCAACAGCATCCTCCCTCCCAGAACACACGCTCCACAGCTGCAGATCAACCCTGCCCCAACCCACAAAGGCCCAGCCTCACCCAGAGGCAGGACGCTTCTCTGCGAGCTTCCTGCTGAGCCAGGACCGGGCTGACCACGGGGGCAGAGAGAACAGGCCATGGAGCCGCTGTGGCTTGGCCCCAAGCCTCCCTTGAAAGAAGACTGACTGCCCTTAGACCAGGGAGACGCACCAGCTGGGGCTGCGGCCACAGCCACGCCCATGTGAAGAGAAGTGGCCTCTGAGGACCCCTGCCCACTAGACTCCACTGGATCTCCTGCCTCGGCCTCACCAGACAAACAAGTCTACAACCGCCTGGCACACCAGGGGCCAGACTCCGCCCCATGCTCCCGGCAGCGCTCACAGGGCCTGGGCTCACCTCGCTTCAGCCTCTCCATGGCGCTTTTGCTCCCCGCGTAGGTGGGTCTGATCTCCTTCCCCAGCTCTTCGATGATGGCCAGCAGCTCAGCGTACTTGCTCTGGGGTACCTGGCTGTTCCCAGTGCCCTGGGGGCAGAAGATGGGGCGGTCAGATCAGAAGCCAACCTCAGGGTGACTCCAACGCTATGGGCATGACCACAGCCACCCTGACAGGGCAGGACAGGCCTCTCAGTGGAGGACATGGGCAGACACGAGGGCTGTCAAAAGGAGAGGGCTTGGGGAGGCAGCCTGGCCGAGGTTCCCCAAGCCACTGCCTTAGCTCGGGCAAGGTGCGTCTCCTCCCAGCCTTCCGGCATCCAGGACAGCACAGCCAGGGAGCCTGGTTCTGAGGAAGCCACCCAGCAGTGCTCAGGAAGCTCATCTACAAGAAGGACCCATTGGCAAAGAAGCTACTAGAACCCACATGGAGGAGCAAGCGCAGCTCAGGGTCCGAATGTCCAGGGAGAGTGGTCAAGCCCAGAAAAGACAGAGGCCACTCTGCTCTAATGCACCCCAACCTCCCACCAGAAGGGCCCCCTAGGTCCCTGGAGACAAGTACCCAGAGAAGTGTCGCAGGGCTCTCCGTGGACACAAAGTCTGGGGCCACCCACTCAGGCCCCTCCTGGTCCTGGGCGTCCTCCTCCCACGGGTGCACCAGGGCGGCAGTCTCCCTGTGCAAGGCGCTCGTGTGTGCCTCCCTGCTCTCCTGCTGCCATCTTTGGGCGTCCGAGTCCCCCTGCCGCAGCCCTCCCAGCTCCCGGCACCGCCTCTGGGCCTCCAGGTCCCTCCTCCTCTCCCTGGCGTGCTCCTGCCTCACGGCCAGGGCACAGCTGTGCTGCCGCTCCAGGGTGCCCGCCCACCACGGCCGTATCTTCAGGCGGCCACACTCCCCCTGCATCCGGGCATCCTGGCGCGGCACGTGAGCGCCCTGGTCACCCACTCCAAGAAACCGTCTCCGTGGCCGCGGCGGAATGTTCCAGCTCCAACCTGGGCACAACACTGCCCTTGTTCCCTCTACTACCCCGCTGAGCACACAGGGAACTGAGGCTCGAGCCTCAAAGGGGTGGGTCACTGTGGAGAGAGAGGGAGAGCGGGGCGGACGCATGCAGCCTGGCTCCAGGGTCCTGCTCAGAACTACAGGATCTCACTGAATGCACTTGGATCCCATTAAGCTCAGCGGGCTCTGCAGTCTGAGCTGGCCTCCACCAGGACCACAGCGGTGTAGACAGGGAGAATAAAGAGAGGCCCCAGGTCAGGTCTCCAAAGACCATGCGCCCTCGGCTGCTGGGAGCTTCAGCCTCTGCTAGGCACGTTCCCCACCACCGACACCACGGTCCTGGTCAGCCCTCCGTTCTGATACCTTGTGGCCAGCACTGAGAGAGCTCAGGTGTCTGTCCCATCCCTGTTTGTGCCTTATGCATGGTCTCCCTGTCCCTGCCAGCTGGGAGCAGGTCTCCAGCATTTCTCAGTGCCCAGCCCACCCCCTCTCTCCACACCATACCTGGGTGTACCCGAGGGACGGTGGCCCGTAGTCACTCAGCAGCTGGCGGTACTGTGAGGACGTCGCCATGCTGGTCGAAGGAGAATGGACACTCCCGGCTGCGGGGCAGGAGAGAAGACAGTGTCAGGAACGGTGGCTACAGTCAGTTCTCCCCAAGGTGGGGGTTATGGGTACCACAACAGAACCCCGCAAACTCACACCGCCAACAGCACCCTGCTGTCTCTGCAGGGCAGAGCCCTGCTCTTGACCTCTAGTTTGGCTGGCTGTGGCCCTGACACTCAGCCTAGATAATCCGTGGTAAAAACTGTAGCCAAGGCACCCACGTCTTCCAGCCCACCAACACTGCAGGCATCACTCATCGATCACAGAACAGCGACTAGTACCATGGTGAAAGTGAGTGCCACTCTAGGCTGAATCCTGGTCAGTCCCTCTCCGGGGTCTTGCTCCCCAGAGGTTGACATTACCGAGCCGCATCACTGCAATGAGGCCACCTGCCACCAAGGCAAGGCCTCACCTGGGCTAAGGTCTCTAGAAGAGAGGGAAGTGTTTTGGTTGGCGTGCCCACATGACTGGGTAAGGCTTACAGGGTGAGGAAGTCAGGAGGAGGCCTGGAAGATGGGAACCAACCCCCAGGCTGTAGATCTCATATCAGCCCCGCGTTCTTTGTGTGACCTCACATGAGCCCCCATAACCTCTCTGGGCCTCTGTCTCTCTCTCTGTCCTCCAAACAGAGGAGTCCAGTCTCTGGACAGTCTGTGTCTCGTCCCCAAATGGCTCGATACCCCAAGAGGGGGCCCACTTTCAGAATGCAACAATCATTCTGAGACTCCGCCCTGGGCTGGCCACCAGGGACTGATTTAGGGTCCCAGGACCTCCCGAACGGGGACTCCTCAAAGGGGGCTCCTCTAGCTCCAGCTACAAGGCTGAAAGCACGCAGCAGGTCACAATGGTGCCTGAGTGGCCATTAACGGGCAAGAGCTGTCCTGCAGAATTACAAACAGCAGTAACCATGGAGAATTTACCTAGTCCTACGGCAGCCAGCCATCCGTCTGCCCAGCAGCCTGGCTCCACGCCCCACAGGGATCCCTGCCCCGCCCCAGAGCCCAATGGTGGCTCTCTCACATTCAGCAGGCTCACAGAAACCCGGGCTGGGGAAGGCCAGCTGCTTGTCCATGGAGGGGCTGGGCAGAAGTAAGTTCAGGAGGAAGGCAGGGGAAGTGAGAAGGGGCCCCGTGGAACCCTAGATCACAGCTTTCTGAGATAAGGGGGCAGAGACCTGGGGCAGGTGCTACCCAGGGCACCCAGCACAAGAAGTCCCCCCCACCCAATGCCCTCCCCGCTGCACCCAGACCTCAGCACCAAACAGACCCACCAGGTGGATGCTTGAAACTTGGGAGACCACCTGGAAATGGAGGCTGGAATCCAGACTGGGCCAGTCAGTAGGCCGCTCAGTTTCCCTGGCTATAAAGTCGTCGGGACCACAACACACCTACTAAGTTGTGGGAGCTGCTCGTGCTGGGCCTGATCCCAGGCAAAGGAGGTGTCAGGGCAAGGTTGGTGCTCCCACTCGGCTAAGCCCAGCTCCTGGACCGGGGTGGATGAGTGACTCTGAGGGGTACAGGCTCCATGAACGTACACTCACGTTCCTGCCCTGCCCCACATGGGTGGCAGTTGCCACGTGCCAAACAAGGGAGGGTATGTCGGCCTCCAGGAGACGCCAGCTCCTGGCAGGAGCAGCACCAGAACCCCATGTATCCTCTGCTTCACCCCTCATTCTGGTCCTCTGTGCCTTCTTCCTGCCTTCTTTTCTGTGGGCTGTGTGACCAGATCCCCAGTCCCTCTCTCTCTGGGCCTCCGTCTTCCCAGCAATGGCTCCCAGCCAGGGTTAGGTCCTGAGTGCAAGAGGAGAAACTAGACATTCATAGGCCTGTTTGGGCGTGGGGGGAGTCATTCGATAGCTCAGGGCTCTTGGTGAGTGACCCAGAGCCCATGCCAATGCCAGTCCTTGCTCCAGTGGTGAAAGGGCCCGAGTTCCACTCCCAGCCACTCTTTCCTGCAGACACAGGGAGGGCCAGTAGGTCGTCTGAGGGAGGCCACCAAGAGAAGCCCACGTCAGCGTCAGCGTCTGCGGAGCATCAGACAATGAGCCAGTGTGCAGAGGGCCAGGACGCTCCTGGGGCCAGAGCTCCCCGCCCCCATGCCAGACAAAGAGCCCGCCCAGGGCCTGGGGAGCTGGCGGCCTTCCCGACACCCGGGACACCCCTGGGGAGGTGGGGGGGGCCTCTCCAGTAGGGACGCGGGGGCTTTGTCTACCGCCTCTGCCACCGCTGGCCAGGCCGCGGCTTGGCAACCTCCAAGCAGGAGGCTGGGCTGCGGGGCGTAAGAGATGATGACAGGGAAGCCAGGAGGAGCAGGGAGGAGAGTCCATCTTGGATGCAAATGGGGAGATGGGGCTTTCAGCAAAGAGGTCCTCAGGGGGAGGGGGCAGATAGGTCCCTCCAAAAGATAACAGCCATCTGAGAAGAGCACTCCTGAAGAAAGACCGTACATGTGTCAGGTGGTCCCAAACAGAGCTGCAGGGGTCCTGAGCCCTATATCCCCATCACCCTGTGACCCCCGACCAACCCCCCTTCACTGTCCCCCAGTGTGAGGACCCTGCTTCAATTAACCCAGGACTGAAAATCCCCACCTGTCCAGGGTGGCACTCCCCCTGCCCTGACAAGATAAATTATACCTGGGCAACAAAGCCAGTCTTTCAAAGGTCTGCAGCCCCCAAAGGAGGGGACACCACAGGAGAAAATGGGGGCTGTTGGCCCTCGGGGGCTGGGAGCCCCCATATGGAAGCACCAACTCTTTCCAAACCTCACTGTCTAAGAAGTTTTGTCAGGATTTTTTTTTTTTTTTAATCTTGCTTTTCCAGGTCCCCCCAAGAATTTTCGGAGTTATGGTGTCACCGTGTGGAGGCCCAGGCCTGAGACTCAAGGGCAGCTGCGGGCTGGACATTTTGGCAAGCTGGGCCAAGTCCCCCTCCCCCAGGGCAAGGTCTTTGTTCCTCTCCCTCCACCAGTGTGACCTGCTTTTTGGGAACCATGTTCCCAACCATGGGTCTAGGAGAGGGTCCCTGGAGAGGGCACAAAGCGCACCAGCTCTGAACCCCTACAATATTGCCTTCCCTACCGGGCTACCGGGCAGCCACCCTGAAGGAGAGCCCCCCCAGGCCACATCCTCAGGACGGTAGCTTCTCAACTTCTCCAAGAGTTTCACTAGACCGTCCGCCTCCCAGGGATGGGGGAGATGCGTGCCTCCCGACTTCTGCAGGCGAGGGGGTCCTAACATGCCCAGACTTGGAGGCACCGCGATCTGGGATTCGGAAAATGCCACCCCTTCCCCACTCGCGCAGACACCCATCAGCCACCAGTCTTCCCTAACTTCTGGACTCCTCGTGCGCCGGAGGGGGTCTCCCGCGGGCCCCGTGCTGGGCGCCCCCCGTAACCACGCGGGAGGCCAGACTCCCTGCACCCTTTGGCTCCCCAGCCA